CTCATACATATCTCCTATTTTCTTGAATCCAAAGTACCATGAATTCTCATATTTTTTTTTTCAAAGTCTTTAACTTTAAAAGGTTTTAGCACATTATCTTCATTTACTTTTAATAATAACATCCTCAAGCGCCTAAAACCTCCTTTCAAAACTTCTTAAAATTTTATGTGTGTAAACTCTAGAAATTTGTGCTCCAGAAGGTGGAGACTTCAAAACAGGTTTTTCATCCTATGTTTTAAAATCACCTTGTGATTTTTTTCTTGCATATCTTGCAAAGCCACCATGCGTTTTCTAACAAGTTGTTTCAAAGTAGTTTTCTTGTTCACATATTTATCAAAAAAAGAATTTATGCTTTCAGAGCTTTGAGTTGTAGACATTCCGTCAAAAAAAGTGTCTCTCATATAAGTAGGCACCCAATATAAATGATCTTCAAACAAGAACTTTGCTTAATATATGCCATAAACAAAATTGATGTTGTGAATTTGGAAATACCTGAGGATTGACTGACTTCATGGTTTTGTCTTAATTAGTTAGTATAGGAGCTGGGGGTGTTCCACCCATTGCTCTAACCCATGTTTTCACTAACCAAACAAATGTTGAAGCGGTTTCGTTAGCAAGCAATGCACATCCAAGTAGTGTAGACTGAAAATGGTTATTCACGCCAACAAATGAAGCAAATGCCATCTTGTATTTATTTGTGATGTATGTAGTATCAAAGGAACCACATCTCCAAAAGTTTTGTAGTCTTCATGACCTTTTGCATCAACACAAAAAACATTTCTCAAGCGTTCATTTTCATCTAAATCCATTGTCACATCCCGGTCCGGGACGGATCACTTCCCGGGCCCGCTCCACCACCGTAGCACGATATTGTCCTCTTTGGGCTTACCATTCCCTCACGGTTTTGTTTTTTGGGAACTCACGAACAACTTCCCAGTAGGTCACCCATCATGGGATTGCTCTAGCCCCCTTCTCGCTTAACTTCGGAGTTCCTACGGAACCCGAAGCCAGTGAGGTCCCAAAAGGCCTCGTGCTAGGTAAGGATGAGAATATACATATAAGGATCACTCCCCTGGGCGATGTGGGATGTCACAATCCACCCCCTTTAGGGGCCCGATGTTCTCGTCGGCACACTCGCGATCAGGGTTAGGCTCTGATACCAAATTCACATCGCCCAGGGGAGTGATCCTTATATGTATGTTCTCATCCTTACCTAGCACGAGGCCTTTTGGGAGCTCACTGGCTTCGGGTTCCGTAGGAACTCCGAAGTTAAGCGAGAAAGGGGCTAGAACAATCCCATGATGGGTGATCCACTGGGAAGTTGCTCGTGAGTTCCCAAAAACAAAACCGTGAGGGTGTGGTCGACGCCCAAAGCGGACAATATCGTGCTACAGTGGTGGAGCGGGCTCGGGAAGTGGTCCCCCTCGGGCCCGGATGTGACATCCATTGCACAAAAGAAATTGGGATTTTCTTCTTGCATATGCATAAAATGCTCAAGCATTGTTAGGTCATCTTCAACCGAAGGGTCTAAAGGTCCAGAGGGTTGAAAATAGCCCAAAAACCGTCTCCAACAAAGGGTTAGGCCAGAGGGCTCGTGGGCCCCACAAAATTTGAAATGGCCAAAGGGCCAGAAGGCTGGCCCAATCCAGCCAGCCAGCCCCGGGCTGGGCAAAAAATTATAGCATTCCTGTTGAATATAACCAACAAGAATATGAATTCTAGGCCAAATTTCAAATGCAACTGCTAACTAATGTCAGCTAGTTATTATTTTTTATTTTTTATTTTTTTACAGTTTTATTTTTTTTCCTATAACTTCTATTTTTTTCTATAACTTCCTATAATTTCTGTTTTACAAAATTTGTTTTATATTTTTTCTAAATTATATATTTTTTTCCTATAACTTCTATTTTACAAAATTTGAATTTAATTTAAGTTGTTGTTTTTAAATAATAAATTATGTTGTAGTTTTTTACAGTACTTAGCTGTTGGATTTTAATTTGAATTTAAGTTGTAGTTTTTAAATAATAAATTATGTTGTGGTTTTTTACAGTACTTAGCAGTTGGATTTGAATTTGAATTTATGTTGTAGTTTTTAAATAATAAATTATGTTTGGCCCTATGGCCATTTGACCCTCGGTTGGAAACGATTTTTTGTGACAGGGCTAAAATGAGCCCTATGGCCATCGGTTGGAGATAGAGGCAAATATGTTCCTGTACTGTTCATTAAAATATTAATAACTTGGAGAGGCAGAGGGCTAAAATGAGCCCTCTGGCCAACCTTCGATTGGAGATGATCTTATAGCATTCTGTGATGCTAGTTCTAAACGTCTCTTTTAATCAAGATGATTTTGATCAGAAAACTAAATGATATAGTTGTTGATGATTAGATTGTTACTTAAATGTTGATTAACGTACTTATTTTCTATTATTGACATATTATTTAGTTTGTAAGTTTAATTTAAAATTTTAATTTGTCTAAAATTACTCTTATTTTTAGTGAGCAAGGCTTTACAACTTCCATATATCAGAGAGTCTAGAATGTTCGTGATTCTCTTGGTATATGTTTCTCACAAAAAAAAAGTATAGGAATTGCTAGCTGAGCTTGCTAGACACGTTGTACTTCCATTCCATCCTCAAAACAAGTTAGGACCAATATCATTAAAAAACAAAAAAGTGGTTATGAAAAACGGAAAGGGATCATCTCCAGATATCTTTTTCCAAAATTACCAAATCAAGTGATTCAGACTTTTGAAATTTGATCCAATGATCAGAAATTATTATAATTTTTAATTTTTTTTACCGATGTCGGGACCCACTTCTTAAAAAAAGAAAAGAAAAGAAATTAACATGGAGAGCTCAAACGTCATCGTCAACGTCAAAGAAGAGTTTGACACTTTGACTCCACTGTCTCATCATGCTTTCTTTCTCATTTTACCCTTTAAACTTCAATACCCATTAGTCATGTTCATATCCTCATTCAGTAACCCAAAATTGGAGCTCATACATGTCTCCTTTTTCTTGCATCCAAAGTACCATGAATTCTCATTTTTTTTTTCAAAGTCTTGAACTTTAAAAGGTTTTAGCACATTATCTTCATTTACTTTTAACATTAAGATCCTCCAATGCCTAAAACCTCCTTTCGAAACTTCTTAAAATTTTATGTGTGTAAACTCTAGAAATTTATGCTCCAGAAGGTGATGGAGACTTCAAAACAGGTTTTTCATCCTATGTTTTAAAATCATCTTGTGATTCTTTTTCTTGCATATCTTGCAAAGCCACCATGTATTTTCTAACAAACTGTTTCAAAGTAGTTTTCTTGTTCACCTATTTATCAAAAAAAGAATTTATGCTTTCAGAGCTTTGAGTTGTAGACATTCCGACAAAAAAGGCACCCAATATAAACGATCTTCAAACAAAGACTTTACTTAATATATGCCATAAACAAAAGCGATGTTGTGAATTTGGAAATACCTGAGCAATGACTGACTTCATGGCTTTGTCTTAATTAGTTAGTATAGGAGCTGGGGGTGTTCCACCCATTGCTCTAACCCATGTTTTCACTAACCAAACAAATGTTGAAGTGGTCTCGTTAGCAAGCAATGTACATCCAAGTTGTGTAGACTGAAAATGGTTATTCACATCAACAAATGAAGCAAATGGCATCTTATATTTATTTGTGAGGTATGTAGTATCAAAGGAACCACATCTCCAAAAGTCTTATAGTCTTCACGACCTTTTGCATCAACCCAAAAAACATTTCTCAAGTGTTGATTTCCATTGCACAAAAGAAATTGGGATTTTCTTCCTGCATATGCGTAAAATGCTCAAGCATTGTTGTCGCATTCCGTGATCCTAGTTCTAAACGTCTATTTTAATCAAGATGATTTTGCTCAGAAAACCTTATGAGTTGAATTGCACTAACTTTTTATTATTATTATTATTTTTTTTTTTTAAAGAAGGCGTCCCAGTATTAATTGAATGTTCTGGCATTTTGAGTTTTAAAATTTTCATGACCACTTCCACTTTTATTATTATTATTATTTTTTTTGTTTTTTAATAATGTTCCAGGTTGTTTTGAGGATGGGATAGAACGTTAAGTCTGGTCCCACCGTTAATCCAATAACAAGAAATAAATACCATTAAAAGTATTTTTTTCTGTTGCAAGTTGAAGAAGAATGAGATAATACCATTAAAAGTATTTTTTAGCCGAGTCGTGCTAGCTAATATTTCTCTTGGAGAATATTAATAAAGCTCAACATAAGAGAGCGGGCAGATAAGAATCATAAGATTCCCACTACAGGACAAAGTAAGAATAGCTGAAAATTAACGCGTTTAAGGTAGAACTTGTATTGAAAGCTCAGGACTTAATTATAAACTTGCACCTTGAGTTTAGTAGTAGTTCTATTTGAGTCTCTAAACCTTTTTCTGAACCAAATTGGTCCCCTAATTTTATAAAATGTGGTAAATGAGGACAATTCATTACAAACTAATAAATGGTTTAGGTTCCCAATGGTTTTGATTGGTTATATTATGCGGTGGTGGCCATATAGGAAAATTTACTATGTTTGTATGTCTGTTTAAATTATCACGAGATTAAATTATTGGTTTTAAGAACATTTACACATTTGACATTTTTGTAATTGTATAATTTGTTGGTTGATAAATAAAACCTCGAATAAATGATGTGTGCAATTCAATTCAGACAGTTTTTTGGTTGTGATGAAAAACTCTCTTTTACTGTTTAATGTTCTTACATATAGTAATATAACATGTAATAAAATAGTGTAAAATTAACTATAATTAAATTAGCTAGAGAAGTATACTCTCCTCTCGTCATCCAAATTAAAACTTATTCACACTGTAGTTTAAATTAAATTACAATATTACCGTGATAAGGAATAGTTGGAAGACCAAAATGAAAGAAACTCCATAAGTGTAGGGAGCAAAAGATGAACTTGCACCAGAAGCTCAAAGACTTGGAAAAAACACTATTCACTTTCCAAGGTCCAGTGCCTTGAGTTATAAGTGGGTCTTTGATGAGTGTTTATGAATTCAACTTCACTGAAATTCTGCTTCCCCACACAATCCAAAACACTGATCGAGAGAGAGAGATGGGTAGCAGCAGCAGCATCACACCTGAAGAAGGAGAAGCAGTGCGTGTGAATGTGAGCCGACTGCCTGGGTTCGGATTCTGCCCCACGGATGAGTTGCTGATCAGGTACTACCTGAAGAACAAGATAGAGGGGACGGACTCCCATTTCCGCCGCATCTTCCCTGAAATCGATCTCTGCAAGTACGAGCCCGGCGATATTCCTGGTAAACCTATTATTTTATCTCACTTTTTCTTCACCAGCCATGCATCTTGTTTCCAATGGATTCTTTTGTTGTTTATGTAAATTTACTATCTTGTTTCAATTTTATTTATTTATTTTTCATTCAGAATTGAATTGGGCTGGTTTTGATTTCTTGCGTTTTGTTGTATACATAAATTTATGATCTTTTCAGTTTTTGGTTTTACCTCAAGAATTGGAACGCGTTCTAACCCTCCTCTCTCCTTTAGTATAACATAGGTAATAATATCGTTCGTAACTCGTTAATTGAAGTGGTTCCGTTTCAATTTGAATATGTGGATTTGTGTTGTATAAAAAAAAAAAAGATTTTGTTTTGTGTTGTATTTCGATTTACTTTCCCTTTTGAAGAGCCGACCCGTATCTCTTTCCTATGGTATAATATTGTGGCACCCAAAAATTTATGATCTTGTTTCAGTGTTTGTGATTTTTGTTCTTCAAGAGTTGGATGGGTTTGTTTCAAATTTTGAACATTTTGTTTTGTTGTTGGATTTCAGCATTCGTCCCAGAAGTTAATGAGAATGAGTGGGTCTTCTTCACCCGCCCCAAATACAAGGACACCCGCTGCCCTCGCCGCGACCGGCTCACGCATCAAGGCTTTTACAAGATCACAGGAGATGAGCGGGAGATCAGGGATGAAGAATCCAAAGCTGCGATTGGGAAGAAGATTATTCTGACCTTCCACGAAGGTCGTGGACCAAAAGCAAAGAAGTCCGATTGGGTAATCCATGAGTATTATTGTACAAAAACTGAGGTGGGTTCTAAACCCACCAAGCAGATGGACTTCGTCCTCTGCCGCCTGAAGAACAGGTCACCTAGTTATAAGAAGCCGAAGGGTGATCCAACCCGCGGCGAATTACCTGATTCAGGTGCTAACTCGGAAGACGATCAAGCTGCTGGAGGTGATGTGATTGCAGGGCCAGTGGAACATCTGGGATACAAAGAGCTAGGAGATGTTAATAGCTCTGAGTCTCCAGATGGTTCTTGTCTTATAGACTATATTAACATTTTGAGCTTTGATGATGGTGATGATGAAACTGGTGACGGGAAATTCCCGGATTTGGATGATCCAGCTGCATCTGCTAGGTTTCTAGAGGTAAGATAATCGCATACTCACTACATTTTTTTTTGTATGGACACGCAAAGCCTGCTAAAAATTAACACCTGCTTGTTTGTGATTCTTAATCCACTAGTTGCGGGCTGAGATGGAAGAAATTCTGAATTCACCCCCTCAAACACCGCACCAGACACCACTAGATTACCTTTCCTCTACATTCCTGTCATCAGGAAACATTCAGCTGGGAGCTGTTCTGCAAGCCAATGGCACTAGTGATGATTGTAATACAATACAATCACCATTTGGAGATAATAATTATTCTTATACTGATAAGAATGATATTTTAACCTGTGATGAAGGTGAACCTCATAGCTTCACCGTGTCTGATTTCGAAAATAAAGTTGTAGATGATATGTCTCAAGAGGTGAGAATAAACATGTTTATTTGAATATTTAATAATACAAAAGTTTATTAAAACTTAACCTTCTTATTTGTGATTTTTAATCCAGGTATGTGTTCAGCCACAAAAGGACATGGATCTACTTCAGTTACATGTCGCACAACAGTCACCAACATACACAAAACTCGAAGATTTTATGGATGCCAATATTTTTTATGATGAATGCATAGAGTGGCAGCCTCAAATTGGAGATGAATATTCACATGTTAATTGCAAGAATAATATTTCAACCAATGATAAAAATGAGCCGGTTAGCTGCAATGCATTTGATTTGGAAAATCAATATACAGATAACATGATTCTGGAGGTGAGAATAATCATGCTTGAACAATTTTTTTTGACATCAACTTCTTAATATTGAGCACAATATGTAGATTAAAAACTCAACACTTGCTTGTTTGTGATTCTTAATCTTGCAGCCATGTGTTCAACCAGAAAGATATCTAAGAAGCGTTCTGCATTCCGATATTTGTGACAACGGCTACAACAATTGGCAACCTACATGTTGGGATAAAGATTCTTATCTTACAGATAAGAAGAATATTTCAACCAATGATAAGGATAAACAACATAGCAGCATTGCTTCTAATTTTGATAATCAAGCTACGAATAAAAGGAAGAGGTAGCTAGCAGCAATTGAAAACATTCTTTCAATTTCCCAAAAATACCTGCCTGATGCCGTTAATCAAGTCCTCCACGTAATAACATTTCAACCAAGTCGTAGTTCTCGCCTTAATGGCAATACTTCTATTTGTCCTGCAGTTGTTGTTGCATGGTTGCTGGAGTCTCTATCAGTCTACGTATTATTGATACTTAAGATGTGATTTTGTGTATAATTGGAATGATTAGCAAAATATATGGTTGTAGTTTAAGATCTTAAACCTTTCTATATATAAGAATATCCTCGTGTATTGTTTATCAGAACTCTTAATATTGAATGGTAATTTGCCTATTCTTTTCTCTTTCTGTATGTATATATATGAGTTCTGTACCAACAATGTTATTTGTTTACATGTTATATATGTTACACCCAACTAGGGAGAAAAAGAAAGGATATTCGACTGCAATTAGGCGTCCATTGTTTCAGCATTCCATGTGCAGCTGCAAAATCAAACAAACCATCGTTCCCTTTAAAGATATTGTAATTAAGAGATTACCTAACCACTTAGTACTACGGTCTAGTGGTATTCTCTTTACTAGTAACTAAGAGACTTAAGTTCGATCTTTACCAAAAACGAATTTGAATCACATTATTATGGTTAGACCATTGTGAGACTTAACTTACTCCCCTATGTCCTTAGTGTAGATAATATTGTTTGTTCAACAAAAAAAAAAATTAAGAGATTACTTAATCTTGATCGTAAATTTGCTCCTTGTGTTTTAGTAGTTGTTCTATTTGGGTCTTTAAACCCTTTTTTTTTTTTTTTTTTAACCAAATTGGTCCCCTAAGTTTGAAAAATGTGGTAAAATGAGGACATTTACAACCTAATAAATGGTTTAGGTTCTCAATGGTTTCTATTGGTTCTTATTCGGCCGTTTAGGAAATTTACTATATTTTATGTTTATGTAAATTATCTCCAGAGCAAATTATTGGTCCTTAGAAAATTACACGTTTGGCATCCCTATAATTGTGTAATTTGTTGGTTGATAAATAAAATCTCGTTGTCGTTTCTTGTCAAAAATAATAATAGGTGTGTGCAATTCAATTCAAACCGTTTTTTGTTGTAATGAAAAACAACTAGTAGATTGTCTTGTTTAGATAGGACCTTATTCTTCAACCCATTACGCCAAGCGTATAAGCTCTCCTGTACTCAAGGTTCTAAAAGACATTAAGCGCTAATCGACTGACAGGTTGGGGCCCCTAGATAGACTAGACGGATTTAAGTAAATTTATTATATTTCGTATAAATAAGTGTCTGCCTATACTTTAAATATATATAATTTCATTATAAACTACAAAATAGAATGACATATATATTATGAAGTATTGGAACATAATGAAAATATGGGGAACAAGGATATAATGTGTGTTCATTTAAGTATGCAACAAGTTTCTTATAATTTATTGAAAAAAATAAAATGCAAAAAAAGTTAATCTATTTTTTGTTTAAGTGAGTTGTGACCTAGGCGGATTTGGGCAAGCTAGGCAGACACCTTAACAGGTCTATGCACCATTTTTTAATTTTCAAACGCCTAGACAGCACTAGGCAAAGATTTTTAGAATAGTGCCTATAACTAGTGTTGTTGCTTAGAGTAGCAATATGACTTGTAATTTTTTTTTAACATACGATATTATCTACAATAATGGAGAGGGGGTTAGGTTTAGCCTCACAATGGGCTAGCAATAATGTGGTTCAAATTCGCCTTTGGCGAGAATCGAACCAAGACCTCTCACTTAAAAGTAACTAAGAATACCAATAGACTGTAGTACTAAGTGGCTATGACTTGTAATTAAAATTATGTAAAATTAATCATATCCAAGTTAGTTAAAACAATGTACTCTCCTCTTGTCACCCAAGTTAAAATTTAGGGTAAAGTACTAAAAACTACCTCAACTATTGGTGTCACGACACTTTCATACCTAATCTTTTTAAAATGACAATGTCATACCTTATCTTACGAATTTGTGTCAATGTCATATCTCCGTCAGTTTTTCTGTTAAGTGCTGACGTGGCTAGATATAGGGACCACTCACTAAGCCAACTAGATTAAAATATAATTAAAAATTAAAAAAAATAATTATATTAAATCTCTTTCCTTTCTCTCTCTCCCCCATCTCTCTCGCCTTTCTCTCTTCTCTCCATCCCCAAAACCCCTTCCCACTCGACCCCCCCTCCCCGGACCCCTTCCCACCCATCCCCCCCAACCTTCCTCCACCACCCTCTCTCTCTCGCCTCTCTCTCGCCTCACTCTTCTCTCTCTCTCTGGACACCCACGTGTATCCCTCAAACCCTTCCCACCCGTCCCCCCCCCCCAAAACCTTCCTCCCCCTCACCCTTTCTTCCCTTCGCTCCCTGTCTTCCCCAAACTCAAAACCAGAACCACCCAACCCAAATCCCACCCCGCTCCAAACTCAAAACTAGAACCACCTAACCCAGATCCCACCCAGCTCCCGTCTTCCCCGTACAATTTGGACCACACCCAGATCTGACAATCCGTCAACCCGGTGTATAACGTCTCGTCATTCGACACTGCCAACGCATTCACGGAGTCCTCATGCACCTTGACCGACTCGACGCAGCGGAGATCCGAGTCCTGCCAAATCTTCAAGCTCAACGTAGTAGAGATCCAAAGGCAGTTCTCGTGGCCCGATGCGGCGTAGAGGAGGTTATGGTTGATGACGAGGCAGGTGATTGAGAGGGAGGGGCGGTGGGGCTCGAGAGTGGCGAAGCATAGGTGGGAGACAAAGAGGTCGAGGGGCTCTAGATGGGAGAGTTTTTGGAGGGAGAGGTTGCGCAGAGAAGATGGGAACGGGGAGAAGAAAGGGTGAGGGGGAGGAAAGTTGGGGGGGGGATGCGTGGGAAGGGTGAGAAGGTTTTGGGGATGCAAGTGGGTGTCCAGAGAGAGAGAGAGAGAGAGAGAGAGAGAATAGAGGCGAGAGAGAAAGAGAGGAGAGAGATGGTGGATCCACAATTTTATATAAAAAAATTAGTTTTATTTTTTAATTTTTAATTATTAAAAAATAAAGAGAGAGAGAGAAGAGAGAGAGAGAGAGAGAGAATAGAGGCGAGAGAGAAAGAGAGGAGAGAGATGGTGGATCCACAATTTTATATAAAAAAAATTATTTTTATTTTTTTAATTTTTAATTATTAAAAAATATATTTAATTATATTTTAATCTAGTTGGATTAGTTAGTGGCCCCAGTATCTAGTCACGTTAGCACTTAATAGAAAAATTAACAGAAAAACTGACGGAGGTATGACATTGGCACAAATTCGTAAGATGAGGTATGATATTGTCATTTTAAAAGATGAGGTATGAAAGTGTCGTGACACCAATAATTTAGGTAGTTTTTTGTACTTTACCCTAAAATTTATCACATTGTAATTTTAATTGTAATTTACAATATTATTCGCACCCAAAAAAAAAAAAAACCCTGATAAGAAATAGTTGGAAGACCAAAATGAAAGAAACCTCGTAAGTGTAGGGAGCAAAAGGTGAACTTACACCATAAGCTCAAGGACATGGAAAAACACCAGTCAACTTTCAAAAGCCCAGTGCTTTGAGGGATAAGTGGGGTCTTTAATGAGTGTTTGCTTTTATTAATATGACTTGAGAATGTTGTATCGAAAGAAAAATATTCTTGTGAATGTGACTTATTTCCAACATTTGAATGTTGAATGAAGTTCGTTCAAAAAAAAAAAAAAATGTTGAATGAAGTATTTTATGTTGTTTTTTCGTTTTACTTTTTTTTTTTTTGCAATATTTTTTAACAGTAAGTAGCATTGACTGGTATAGTAAGATTGAAAATAAAAGTTTTAAATAAATATGAAAATCAAATATAACAACTAAACTATCCGTAATACTGAATACTATATAACATTAATGTTATGGTGTTACTTTTTAATTGTGGTAAATGTTTTATCCTATATTTTTTCATTAGATTATTGGTTTTGGGTACTTCAATGTCATGGCTGCTAATGTAGTAGACCAAATGAGACAATGAGACAATGAATCAATGAATGTGGCAAAGAGAATTCGAATCTGAGTAGGAATGATTAGACTAAGAGTTAGAATGTTAGATGAATAACTTAATTTGAAATATTTTAAGTTGTGGTCGTTAGCAATGTCTCGTAGATTATTCAAGCTACAAATTTCTTACCAACTGGCAGTGTAAAAAATTTATGGTAGTCAAACCAAATACAAAGCCTAGACCATTGTCAAATTGTTGTATAAAAAAATATTGATCTAATGAAATTCATCTCTATTTTGTTGGACGATTAAATTCAAACTCGCATTCTGAAGTCATTATGAATTGTAGCATTGTAAGTGATTTTTACTCTCAATCATAAAGAAAGTTGAGGTTTTGTGTAAAATCTAATTAGTAGTATGATTAGTAGCTTATTCTTTAGAGAATCTCCAACGTGAGATACAAAATACCATAAAATAGGTACTTTACATTTTTGATTGGTCATAAGCTATTTAAATGTAAAATATAGACCTTGGTAGGAATATCAAATTTGCGTAATTTGGTCTAAGAGAGAGAATAGCATTTCAAAATTACATCTCTTCTATTGAAATAAAATTCACATTTACATTTTGAAAATGTAAAACGAGAATGTAAATGTGGCTTTACATTTTATATATAAGTGTCAACATTGAAGATGCTCTTATAAGCACATATAAACTATTCTTTATTTGACGTGAGATTCGTATAACAGTTAGAAAAAGTTCCACTTTAGCATACCAGTTGTTGAAATCATCTAAATTATACACTTATGCAATTCTTAACTCAGCTAAATATAAAATCGGATCTGTTATACCTTGAACTACATTCCTTTGACTCCACATAGACATGCAATGATGATAATGTAGTGACGTAATGCTCTGCCTTCACAACAAAGGAACGATTAGGAAGATAAAAATTTTAAATTAAATGATATAGTTGTTGATAATTAGATTATTACTTAAATGTTGATTAACGTGCTTATTTTTTATTATACATAATTTAGTTTGTAAGTTTAATTTAAAATTTTAGTCTCTCTAACATTACTCTTATTTTTAGTAAGCAAAGCTTTACAACTTTCATGTATCAAAGAGTCAAGAATGTTCGTGATTTTCTCGATATATGTTTCTCACAAAAAAAAAAAAAAAAAAAAATATATATATATATATATATATATATATATATATATAGGAATTGCTAGCCGGGCTTGCTAGACACGTTGCACTTCCATTCCATCCTCAAAACAAGTTAGGACCCATATCATTAAAAAACAAAAAAGTGGTTATGAAATACAGAAAGAGATTCTCTCTGGATCTCTTTCTCCAAAACTACCAAATCAAATGATTCGGATCCTTGAAATTTGATCCAATGATCATAAATTATTATAACTTTTAAATTTTTTTTACCGATGTCGGAACCCACTTCTTAAAAAAAGAAAAGAAATTAGCATGGAGAACTCAAACTTCATCATCAACGTCAAAGGAAGAGTTTGACACTTTGACTCCACTGTCTCATCAAGCTTTCTTTCTCATTTTACCCTTCACACTTCAATACCCATTAGTCATGTTCATATCCTCATTCAGTAACCCAAAATTGGGGCTCTTACATTTCTCCTCTTTTCTTGCATCCCAAGTACCATGAACTCGTTTTCCCAAAAAAAAAAAAAAAAAAAAAAAAAAAACCATTAACTCTCATATTTTTTTTTCAAGGGAACTTTAACAAAAAAACTATCGGTATTGTTTATTTTAACGAAAAATCACATTTTTACACTAAAAAGTCAATCATGGTACTATTTACTTTATATTTTATTTTGTCTTTATCGTTAAAATTTAAAGTTTTTCAAGCTATTTTTATTAGTTTTTCTATTTTTTCAAAGTCTTTAACTTTAAAAGGTTTTAGCACATTATCTTCATTCACTTTCAATAATAACATCGTCCAACGCCTAAAACCTCATTTCGAAACTTCATAAAATTTTATGTGTGTAAACGCTAGAAATTTGTGCTCCAGAAGGTGATGGAGACTTCAAAACAGGTTTTTCATCCTATGTTTTAAAATCATCTCATGATTCTTTTTCTTGCATATCTTGCAAAGCCACCATCTATTTTCTAACAAGCTGTTTCAAAGTAGTTTTCTTGTTCACATATTTATCAAAAAAAGAATTTATGCTTTCAGAGCTTCGAGTTGTGGACATTTCGGCAAAAAAAGTGTCTCTCATATAAGTAGGCATCCAATATAAACGATCTTCAAACAAGGACTTTGCTTAATATATGCCATAAACAAAAGCAATGTTGTGAATTTGGAAATACCTGAGCAATGATTAACTTCATGGCTTTGTCTTAATTAGTTAGTATAGGAGCTGGGGGTGTTCCACCCATTGCCCTAACCCATGTTTTCATTAACCAAACAACTGTTGAAGCATTCCCGTTATGCACATCCAAATAGTGTAGACTAAAAATAGTTATTCACCCAACAAATGAAGAAAAGGAACCAAGTCTCCAAAAGTCTTATAATCTTCACGAACTTTTGCATCAACCCAAAAAAGTGGAATACCATTAAAAGTATTTTTTAGGCGAGTCGTGCTAGCTAGCATTTGTCTTGGAGAATATTAATAAAGCTCAACTTAAGAGAGGGGGGCAGGTAAGAATCATAAGATTCCCACTACAGGACAAAATAAGAATAACCGAAAATTAATTTGTTTTAAGGTAGAACTTGCATTGAAAGCTCAAGACTCAATTATAAACTTGCACCTTGAGTTTAGTAGTAGTTCTATTTGAGTCTCTAAACCTTTTTCTGAACCAAATTGGTCCCCTAATTTTAAAAAATGTGGTAAATGAGGACAATTCATTACAAACTAATAAATGGTTTAGGTTCCCAATGGTTTTGACTGGTTATATTATGCGGTGGTGGCCATATAGGAAAATTTACTATGTTTGTATGTCTGTTTAAATTATCGCGAGATTAAATTATTGGTTTTAAGAACATTTACACATTTGACATTTTTGTAATTGTATAATTTGTTAGTTGATAAATAAAACCTCGAATAAATGATGTGTGCAATTCAATTCAGACAGTTTTTTGGTTGTGATGAAAAACTCTCTTTTACTGTTTAATGTTCTTACATATAGTAATATAACATGTAATAAAATAGTGTAAAATTAGCTAGAGAAGTATACTCTCCTCTCGTCATCCAAATTAAAACTTATTCACACTGTAGTTTAAATTAAATTACAATATTACCGTGATAGGGAATAGTTGGAAGACCAAAATGAAAGAAACTCCATAAGTGTAGGGAGCAAAAGATGAACTTGCAGCAGAAGCTCAAAGACTTGGAAAAAACACTATTCACTTTCCAAGGTCCAGTGCCTTGAGTTATAAGTGGGTCTTTGATGAGTGTTTATGAATTCAACTTCACTGAAATACTGCTTCCCCACACAATCCAAAACACTGATCGAGAGAGAGAGAGATGAGTAGTAGCAGCAGCAGCATCGCACCTGAAGAAGGAGATGCGGTGCGTGTGAATGTGAGCCGACTGCCTGGGTTCAGATTCTGCCCCAGTGATGAGTTGCTGGTCAGCTACTACCTGAAGAACAAGATAGAGGGCACGGACTCCCATTTCCGCCACGTCATCCCTGAAATCGATGTCTGGAAGTTCGAGCCCTGCGATATTCCTGGTAAACCCATTATTCTATCTCACTTTTTGTTCACTAGTTTCCAATGGATTCTGCTGTTGTTTATGTAAATTTACTGTCTTGTTTCAATTTTTTTTTTCATTGAGAATTGAATTGGGTTGGTTTTGATTTCTTGCTTTTTGTTGTATACATAAATGTATGATCTTTTCAATTTTTGTGTTTTTGTGTTTCAATTTGAATATATCGTTTTGTGTTGTATAAAAAAAGTAATATTTTGTTTTGTGTTCCATTTCGATTTACTTTCCCTTTTGAAGAGCCAACCCATCTCTCTTTCCTATTGTATAATATTGTGGCACCCAGAAATTTATGATCTTGTTTCAGTGTTTGTGATTTTTGGTCTTCAAGAGTTGGATGGGTTGGTTTCAGATTTTGAACTTTTTGTTTTGTTGTTGGATTTCAGCATTCTTCCCAGAAGTTCATGAGAAGGAGTGGTTCTTCTTCACCCGGCCCAAATACAAGGACACCAACAGCACTCGCCGCGACCGGCTCACGCATAAAGGCTATTACAAGATCACAGGAGATGAGCGGGTCATCAGGGCTGAAGAATCCAAAGCTGTGATTGGGAAGAAGATTATTCTGACCTTCCACGAAGGTCGTGCACCAAAAGCAAAGAAGTCCGATTGGGTAATCCATGAGTATTATTGTACAAAAACTGAGGTGGGTTCTAAACCCACCAAGCAGATGGACTTAGTCCTCTGCCGCCTGAAGAACAGGTCACCTAGTTATAAGAAGCCGAAGGGTGATCCAACCCGCGGCGAATCACCTGATTCAGGTGCAAACCCGGAAGATGATCAAGCTGCTGCAAGTGATGTGATTGCCGGGCCAGTGGAACATCTGGGATGCAAAGAGATAGGAGATGTTAATAGCTCCGAGTCTCAAGACGGTTCTTGTCCTATAAACTGGAAAGACATTTTGACCTTTGTTTATGGTGATGATGAAACTGGTGGCTGGAAAGTCTCGGATGTTGATGATCCAGCTGCATCTGATATGTTCGAAGAGGTGAGATAATCATATGCTTTTTCTACATATTTTTTGTATGAACTTGCATTTGCAAAGCCTGCTAAAATTTAACACCTGCTTGTTTGTGTTTCTTAATCCACCAGTTCTGTTCTGCGTTGGAAGAGATTCCGAATTCAACCTCTCAGCTGCCACAACCGCCGCAGCTGCTGCAGGCACCAGAACCACATCAGCCACCGCATCCACATCAAACACAGGATTACTGCCCCTCCACACATCAGCCACCTGAGTATATTATTTCAACCAATGATCCCAATGAACCAGTTAGCAAACCTAATGGTGTTCAAGATCTAGCTACAGATGAAATCATTCCAGAGGTAAGAACCAGTCTCTGAATGTTGTATCCTTCATTTTCCAATATGGAGCACAAAAATTACATGGAAGCTTAACATTTTCTCGTTATGTTTCTTGATCCAGGATTGTTTTCATCCAGATGAATTTATGGGTCTGCTGTTTGATCCGTCACAAGATTACTTGCTGCCGTCACCAATGAACATGGAACTGGGAGATGGTGTGCATCCCAATAACTGTATTGGGTGCACTGATTAGTTGCGATCTCTAGATATATGGAGATTTAAACACTTTTCCCATTAGGTTCTTGATTTATCATGGTTGACCGGGTTAGTAATTAGTATCCTGGTAAGAAACAACATACCCTACTTTTAGTGACTCTAATCTACCAAGAGTCACAAGCACGAGTCTAAGATAGCAACAGTAACATAGATTTAATTATCAAACACAGCAATATGGGCCTTGTAAACCCCAAGAACTCTAGCAAGAGTACACCCTTATCTGCATTTCAGGAACTGTAGGCATTAGAAACTTCTTTTCCTAGTTCTGGTGGATATGTCCAGGACAACCGATGTAGGTTACCTAAGCCTATTCTTGTCCTTCTTGGACGTTTTTAAGCATTCCCTAGTTCAAATTAACAGCAGCAAAACCAGTATTTGAGATTTCAACTGGAAATCTCTCCTACAAGGAGTCCAGATGAAGCAAAGATGTCTCTCAGAAGCAGTTGTTTGGAGACCGCGACTCTCCTGTCAACAGAACTACAAATAATCCTCAGCAAAATTGTCTGTTAATATTGTACTGTCTTCATCAAAAGTCATGTACCTCAGCGAGATCGTCTTCAATCATCATCCATTCGTGTCTATCCAGTGGGAGTTGCTCCGAGAAGAATCCGACTGCAAAGCTGTATCACAAGACAAGGTAAGCAATCAAAGCTAAAATTGTTAATAAAAGCTCATGTATTGACACTTTGGGAAGGCTATTTTCTGTTTTCAATCAACTTAATTTGATTTCTTTTAACTCTATTTCCAGGTCAGGGAAGCTGCAGAGTTGCATTGCTCTTCATCGGCCCCGGAAGAAAACAAAAACCGAGTCTTTGAAGCATACAGTTTTGAAGCAGGCATCGATAGGGTTCTTTCTTTGAAGCATCTCCTTAAAACCACTTATCAAGTCTCCCCGATGGGGAATGGTATTGTTACATCGATAACAAGTTCTAGTTCTAGCCTCATACTCAGGCTTTCGTTCCACAGTCGTTTATTCTGGAAATGGCGTTATACAGGATCTGCTGCAACATGGCTGCTGGAGTCCCAAATATATTACAATAACCAGACACTAAATGGTGATGTCCGGTTGTTGGTATTGAAATTTGAGGTTCCATCCCTAATGGAGTAGCAATTACAATCATTGTCAAAATCTGATGATTATGATTGGTATAATCCGTTGATAACCTTCAGAATTAAACACCCATCTTATGTAAATATTACTTTAATTATTTTCCCTGTATCAGCTGCTGCGTTCCTGTGCAGCATTTCTGCTTTTCCTGTACTCCTTTCATTATGTATTGTTGTTAATGTTGTTTATTTAGAACCTTTCAATTTCAGTGGAATTTTGTGGTTATATTCTCTTCTCATTTTTTAGCCCATAAGAAGAAAAAATTGTTTGACTTCCAATCGAGTTAAAACTTGAAACCAAAATAATGCTAAAAAACTTTGTGATTTTGTAAGGGGTGTGATATCCACACGTCCTATTTTACTTCTCACACACCTTTTTAATTTTCGGCTGTCAGATTGGATGAATTAAAGAAGATCAACGAACAGAAATTATCAAGGGGTGTGTGAGAAGTAAAATGGAGTGTGTGGATAGCACACCCCTTTTGTAACACAACTGTGTATGTTATGCTACACCCAAATAAGGAGAAAAGGATCAAAAGGATATCCAGCTGCAATCAGGCGTCCATAGTTTTAGCAATCCATGAGAAAGTAACACAAGTCCACATCAACTGAATGCACATTTACAACCCTTTTTTTCTTTTTGTAAACAAGTGGAGAACACTCGAATCGAACTTATGATCTCTATCACTCTTTATCAAACTTATGATCTCTATCACTATTGGAAAGAGATGTACTCATTTGGGAAATTTGGATATAATTGGAATAGCTAGTTGCTACTGAATAATTATTGAGTTAATGTGTTTAGTTATTTGTTAATTGAGTTTTAAGTTTGGTATCAGCTAGGATGGTTTCTAGTAGACTAGTAGTGTAGTCTTGGGAAGAACAGTTTTAGCTAGTGGCATATATAGGTGAGATGACAACATTTTGTTGCAAAGCTTATTAGGAACTTTTGTAATCCCATCAATTGTTTCAATGAGGGAAGTTTTTCCCATAGCAAAAGAGAAGCATATTCTCTGCAATTTCTCCAACGTTGTTGAGTGACACTTACGATTAGCATCATGGAGTTATTTTGTTGCCCTTGGTCGAGTGATTCCAGGCTATTTGTTTGATCTCCTCATTTTCACCTATTTTCATTTGGTTCTACGACTTTGAGCCTTCATCATATTTACTTGTCCACCTTACTTTTCTTCTTTCAAATTCGGATTCACTTCTTAGTTTGGCTAGATTTAACTTCAACTTTATATGGTCTGTTTTTTTATACAACGATATATTTGCACTAAAGATGGGGGACTAATAGGTTGCGAACTCAGCATCCACAAAATTCGAACCTCAAATCTCTCACTTACAAATGAAGAGGAATACCACTAGACCGTAGTACTAAGTTACCAAAACCATATGGTCTCTTAGAAATCAAAGGATTCACTCCTGATGTCTATTAGGAGTTTAGTAATAAAACTTCAAAACTTGTAAGAATTTTAAGATTTAGAAAATAGACCACTTGAATTAGAAGCCAATGATGTACACACAGTAAGGTGATTGATCTAAGTCCCTTCTTTTGCTATTGTAACTTCTATCTGAAATATTTCCATAGAAAAAAATTGAACCAAAGTATTTTAAGGTAAATTATGTTTTCTTAATTGAGAAAAAACATGTCTTTGATTCAAATCTTAGAGTCTAGCTAGGATGTCTCTTGCTTTGCTTCATATGCATGGTGTATAGTAAAGCAAAGGGAAGAGGAGCATATAAGTAAGGAATTTAGAGATTGGGTTAGATAGTATTTTTTTTTTTTTTTTTTTACTATTGATCTTCACACTTATTTTGTAAATAACTTCTGCATGTTCATTTTCTCTCTTTGCATAGTCGCATTAATTTATAATTTTTTTGATAATTCAAAATAAAATTAATGTTATAGATTCTACTGTTTTTGTGAGAGGTGTTATATACCACATTGTGAAGATATCTCTACTCAAAAATTTCCTATTGTTTGGCGATAAAATTTATTTCGATAAAAAAGGAAAGAAAATAATCATGCAGAAAAGAATAAATAAATAAAAAAAAGATTATATTCACACATTCTAAATTATTTCTCGCCCACCTTTTTATTTTTTTAAATATTTTTTGACACACCACTAATACTTGATAGAAAAATATTAAAAAATTAAAAAAAAATATGGGAGAAGTAATTTCCGCCTTCTGGGGCGTCTTTGGGAAGTCAAAGAGCACAGTGGCACTTGTGGATGCAAATTTCCGCCTTCTCCTTCTTGGACAAAATTGCACCTACAAAACAAATCACATATTTGGTCAAGGCCAAAAAATCTCATGCGCCCACGATGAATTGGGGGGCCCCCGGGGGGGGGGCTGTTTTGGCCAAAGAACCTCTGATACCAAAGTTAGAATTTTGAGGGAAGAATGTTTGGAGAATTTTGTAGAGTTATGCAAGAGACTTGGAAGTAGTTATAGGGACCAGCCATTTGTGGTATTTTTTGGGTTTAATTTGTAGTTAATTAGCCATTAATAGATTAATTAGGTAATAAATCCATTAATTGACTAATTAACATAAAAGAAATGTTTTGGGGGTTATGGAATAATTACCTTGTGGAGAATATAGGATGATGGTGGATGAAATAGTTTTAAATTTGTTACCTATTTTGGGCACTTTTGACTTGGTTGAGGGATGATTGCCCGCTGCTCATGCGTAGGAATCCCGGTATGCCTTAAGTGTATTTTTATCCTTTTCTATCCATAAATCTACGTGTCGCCTTGTGATTATTTTTGGCTCCACAAATGCCCCCACACCTATTGGGCTGCTCGTAGAAAAGGGCAACAGGTGTAGAGATTTTCTTACTTTAGCAAACTTTGGACTGCTTTCTATTTTGATGTAGATTCCTTCTTTAATATGAAATTAGATCATTCTAGGAAAAAGAAATAAATTTCTCTCAAAGCCTATTTAAGTAGACCTTAAGTGGGTTATTAAATCAACTTTGAAGAGCGATTTATTCTACCCTACAAGAGAAAGAGAGCTTAAAGGATATTTGTTCCCCCTTCTCTAGCAATCTTCTACATCTTGCCCGTGCAAATGACCGTCTTTCATTGCTTTCTTCATTTTGTTTGTGCCGCATTGATGTAAGAGAAATTTCATTCTTTTTGTCTTCTTTGTGGATAGTGCTGTCGCAGGCAGTTGTCAGGGTGGTGCGACACGTCAATTGGCAGGGGCCAGGAGTCCGCTTGGCATGGGCCAAGGAAGTGGTTTGGCAGGGTCCATTGCTTGTATTGCTCGGCTTGATTGAAGCCAAGGATTGGCTCGCCATGGGCCGAGGAAGTGGCGTGGCATGGGTAACAGTTTGGGCTGCCACGTCTGAGCTGCTTGGCAAAAATGAGGAAATTGCTTGAGTTTAATTTCTTAGCTGCTGTAGATGGAGCAATCAAGGATGGAGCTGCCAAGATCGGAGTTGTTAAAGATGAAATGTCGGATGAGCGAACTGTTAAGTGCAAAAGTGGATGCTAACCATTTGTTGCCTAGTTGATCTTTAAGCATTCGATCTTTTAAGCTATGTGAACTTCTCGCACTGGAGAGCTTACCCAAATGGGTGTCGAGGATTTAGTTTACCCTTTTGCATTAGAAAGCAATTAGTTTACCTTCTCGCATTGGAGAGCAATTAGTAGTTTATCCTCTCGCATTGGAGAGCAAACACATATGGATGTCGGGGAATTGGTTTACCCTCTCGCACTGGAGAGCAATTAGTTTATCCTTTCGTACTGGAGATCAGACCCTTTTGGATGTCGAGGAATTGGTTTACCCTCTCGCACAGGCAATTGGCTTACCCTTTCGCACTGGAGAACAATTAGTTTATCCTCTCGCACCGGAGAGCATGGAAATCATTGTCGTGAGTGCAGTTGAGGAAAGCTAAACTGCTAGGACAACTGAAATAATCCTTAGCCTGCCCTCGGTTCTTGGTAGTTAGGCTGGTGTGTCCTTCTGGTACTCGTCTGCCCCCTACGTGTCATTAGGCTGAGCTGCTACATTTGTCGGAATATAAGTAGTCTTTATATCCAGCAATCTATATGAGGTAGTCCTATATGCTCGATCTTGTTATTGAAAGATAACTCACTTAAGTTGGTTATGTCTCATTGGAGCACCTTGTCAATAACTTTGTTGCACAGGAAATTGCGCAATCGCTTGGTCAGAAGCCTTTCTACTTCTTCCTGAATTTGCCTTTGTTGAGGGTGGCAGAGCTCTCGGCTGCCCCCGGTCGTGACCTACTGGTCTAGGCTGCTCTTCCATGTGTTTGGCTTGTCTATGCCTCGGCTGCGGTGGGTGTGGTATGTTCCTAGCAGGCGAGCGGGTAACTCGCAGGCCACTGGTTGAACTTGAGTCGGATTAAGTGACTGATTATCTCCATTCACTGTGCTGCTTACTCCGATGTGAGGTGGAGGATGCTCTTTGCGGGTCTTGCCGTGAATGAACATTTTGCTTGGAAGGTTGCTCATGTTGATTATCGGATTGTGGCCCCAACCGTGAGTGTATGTTTGTCCGTTGGCCTAACTGAGAGTGCACGCTCCTTCACGCACTAAAACAGGAGTATACGCTATCTCGGGGGTCCAGTCGGGAATGTACTCTGTTAGAACGCTAGGTTCGTGACTGGTCAAGTGGTTGTTTGCCGGGATGCAGGTGGAGAGGTTCGTCTGCCCTTGTCCTTCTTCGGGACACCTCATTTGGGGCACGTTCGATCTCGGTGCGATTGCAAGAGTTGATTCACCAAGGTTGTCTGTTGTGCAAGGGCGCTCGTCAACTCTATGACTTGTCGAGACAAGTGTTGTTCGCCATTTAGATTGGAAGAGCTTGGAAGGAATATGCCTCCTTAAGCAGTGGGAGTGTGGTAGGCTCCGGGCACGAGATTTGAATTGGGAAATACCAAATCCGCTGAGAAACATGGTGAAAATTGTCACATCCCAGCCCAGGCCCCTACCATATCCCACGCTCGACTCCACCGTTGCACGATATTATTCGACTTGGGCTTCTACCATACCTTCACGGTTTTGTTTCTGGAAACTCACGAGCAACTTCCTAGTGGGTCACTCATCCTGGGATTGCTCTCGCGCGAACTCGCTTAACTTTGGAGTTCCAATGGAACTCGAAGCCAATGAGATCCCAAAAGGCCTCGTGTTAGGTAGAGATGAGAATATACATATAAAACTTACAAGATCCACTTCCCTAGGCGATGTGGG